GTCTTGTTTCAAGGTAAACGCCGAGGAGTATTTCTCAGTGACAGGTCACTACATGCTGGACAACGCCATCTTGTAATTTTCCTCTTATCGCCGACCCTCGGAGCGAATCGGATGGTTCCTCCGGGACAGGCGGCGCTCAGCTGCAGCCCCCTGCTCTTCATTCCCTCCTGGAGAGCGTAGTGTCGGTGGAGGGGGGCAGAGCGAATGCTCACCTCATCCCACCTCTTTTCGCATCGGCGATCACACCGCTCCCGGCCGACGGCGCCCTCTGGGGTTGCCCGGCATAATCCAGGAGGCGGCTGACATGAAGGGACCCTTTTTTATGTCCCACGCCTTTCCCGCCAGTTCGGATGATCCGGCGGGAAGGTTGTTTTTTCTAGGTTCCATTCCAGCTCACCGTCCTGATCCATCTGGCCTCGTTTTCCCAACAGGACGTCCTACGGGAGAGGCCACAGCCGGCTTTCCTGGTAGATTGGGGGGCTGGTCTCCACAGTCCGCACCCATCTCCAGAGCAGGGGTTCACAGAGCGGAAATTCCCTCAGTGCCCCCTGGAGCCGAGCCTGACGAAGGCTTCATAGGAGCAAGATGTCCAGGTGGACCAGCGTCCCGTGCCTCCGGTTAGCATAACCCAGACGGGGACACCGCTCTCCAACTGAGCTCACCGGCATGCGTTCCAGACGGCCGCAGCTAACAACACGTTACGCTGTTGGCGTACACGTTCAGAGGCGGGAAGAGACGGTGGGCCCTCTGACCTTCAGCTAGCTCCGCTCTCGTCGCGGCTGTTCGCTAACAGCGCTGTCAGCCCCTGCAGTACGCTCCGTCTGCAGGGCAGCTGACGTCATCCCCAACCGGTGCGCCTCTTTTGCTGTCTGCCGCCCCGCATCGCAGCCGGAGAACGAAGTCCCAGAGGTTCTCCTGGCTCATCACTCCACCTTCCTCTCAGGAGAGCTACAGAAGCTTTTTGTTGGAGGGCCTTTCATCAGCAAGAGATCATTTCAAGATGCTCCACGGCTGCACAATGCCTCCCCAGCTCTGCTACGCCAGTCCCTCCCGTCAGACGTCCTCGGCATCCGGAAGTTCAATTTTTCCTGGACTTCGCCAACAGGGGGCCCTCTAGGACAACAAACAGAGCTCAGGGGAAGATAACCAGGTGTCTGTTTGCTGGAGGTGTGTAGATGACACGATGTGGAATAAACATCATTTTATGATGAAGTGTCTTTTAGCCAGGCT